TCTTGCAAAGTTGGAATTGATTGATTGAACTTTTTAGTCCCACCCAGTCTGCCGTTACCACCGCAGCCACGCTCACCCAACTGGCCACACCCAGCCAATGGGCCACACCCACCCGACACTCGACGATGCATAAGTGGGGTTTGGGTTGCAGTTTGGGCACTCGGTCTCTTAAAGGTTCGCCATCACTGCCTTATACACTTATACACTTATTCTTAGTGCTTTATGGCCCTAGTCAGCATATTGATTCCAAACAATCTGGGTGTTCATTTTACCAGCCTTGGAGGAATGGGAGGCTGAGTCAACCTTGAGTCGGTCAGGATCAAACTCCTGGCAGGGGGCAGAGCTAGCCTGCAATACTGCATTCTAACTGATTGTCACACCCTGCACACAAAATATGCCAGATGGATTGAAGAAGCCTACAGTTTGTAAATTGTTATCTTGATCTTAATAAAGGAAAAGACCAGAAAAAACACGGGACAGCATAATAACAAATCTTCTTCATAGTTCAAAACCAAACGTAAATGGGTACATATTAGCGTGTAAGGCCTCTCACACAAACCTTTTCTTCTCTTTAATATGTAAAACCTTGTAAGATATTGTGAAATGTTAAAACTTAGCAATTTTATATAACAATACATAGATTTTTTTATCAAACATAACATGATGAATTTCAGGGTGCCAATTCATCTAAGAGACAGCCCCCCCCCATTTAAAGAATCAGGCCTCCTGTATAAGAGACAGCCCCCCCCCATTTAAAGAATCAGCCCCCCCCATTTAAAGAATCAGCCCCCCCATTTAAAGAATCAGGCCTCCTGTATAATCAGGCCTCCTGTATAACTCCTGTTTAAAGAATCAGGCCTCCCCCCAAAAATAATTTCAATACAGACAATATTTTACATACACAGTGCACATTAAGAATAATGAATAACATGCTAATTATGCCACATGAATTATATCCCAATCTTCGTGAGACTAAGATAGAATGTCATTACCATTTCTACAGTGCTAGATACAGGAAATGAGCTTCCTTTATTAAGTATTTATACTGAACCTGTTAGTGAATGAGATATTAGCTGATTCTGCTTGATCAGCATTACGACAGCAAATATTTGCATTGAAGGTTAACTTAGACAGTAGGAAGACCAACACGCTTGATGGCAGGCACAGATGTAAGTTACTCATTACCACAGACCATCAGGAAAAAGCACTACAAGCAAATTATATTTTACCTCTGCATCAAGGTTTGCTTTGAAAATATCCTCTAGCAGGAATAGACCATGAATAGACCGTAGCTCAGCATATTTTTATTTCATGGGAATTAGTAAAGTTGTAGTAAAGTTAAGTGTACTTAACACTTAATTAAGTGTACTTAACACTTAATTTCCATCTTTTTCTTTTTTTTTTTTTTTGCAAATGTCAGTTTGTAAAAATCACTTTGTGAGGAGACAAGTTCTGTGGACAGGGAGGGGGGGAAACCCTAGAAATAATCTCAACTTTTAACTTTGAGAGCACATCACTTCCCCCCTTTAACAATATAGCCTACTTGTTTTTGAACACTGATAGCATAGATATCAAAACAGAAATCAACTTATTACCGAGACTGGGGAAAGGGTAATTTTATGGTTGAAGGATGCACACTAATAAAGGGAAACTATTTTTTCCCTATCTAATCTTCCTTTCAGTTAAATATAATAATCATTTTCCTCAAAGACTCAAAATCAAAGTCTCTACACAAAGTAGCCCAGGTTAGGTGGCATAACTTCAGATAAACCAATATCTTACGAACGTTATAATATTAACTTCTATCATTTCCATCAGCATTTAGAAATGACCACCTAATACAGGCGTGTTCAACCCATGGCCTTGGCTCTTTTATGACTCGTGGACTTCAACTCCCAGAATTCCTGAGCCAGCCATGCTGAGGGGAAAGGGAGAGGTTTCCATGCTGAGCCATGCTGGCTCAGGGATTCTGGGAGTTGAAGTCCACGAGTCATAAAAGAGCCAAGGTTGCCTACCCCTGGCCTATGGGCTGCACGCGACTCTGGACAGTTAATAATACAGCTGCACAAGATAGTAAACTTTTAACATGATGTGATTTACATCCATTAACTATATATTTTATATGCGGCCCAAGATAATTCCTCTTCACTCACTGCGGCCCAGGCAAGCCAAAAGGTTGGACATCCATGACCTAACATAAATAACATGCAACCACTTGTTTATGGTCGCTAAACAAATGGTTTTAAGTCAAGGACTACCTGTCTTTATAGACCATTTGAAGCTAAAATGGCACTGAAAAAAGTAACATTATCATTTTTCCGTGGCAAGAAATGCCGTAAAAGGTGGCAAAACCCGCTGTCTTGCTTAGCAATGGAAATTTTGGGCTCAACAGTCACTCCCCTGCTTGAAAGGAGAAATCTTTAATATATGCAACTCACATCAGCAAAAAGTTGCATCATAACCAGTAAAGCAAGCGATGAGAACAGGGATGGAACGCAGGCATGTGTACACCGCATGCCGGACATAAATATACACATTTATGCACGTTTAATAAAATATGTAATACAGATTTGTTTTTATTACGGCTCCTTATAATTCCCCAAAGCCCATTTTTTGCAGAAGTGGAACTCAAGCCAAGTCTTCTGATACTACTTCCAAGAGCAAGTAATGAGTAATGGACTATTCATGGACTGCATGAAGTAATGACTTCTGGAGAACATGACTTCATGCAGACTCCATCAGTTCCCCACCCTTTATTTCCAGCTAAGGATTTCTGCTCTCAACTGAGCCTGCGTCATGCCAGAGCGAAGGGGGGGGGGGGCTGGAATGGGTGTATCCATGTGCTACGGCAAAGAATTATGGATGCATGGGAAAATGCAAAGAGGAAGATTTTATTAACACAGCACTAGAGAACAGAGCTTGTTCCTGAAGGCGAGGCCATTCTGAACTTATATAAAAACTAAAGAATGGTTATGATCAAACAAAGCAAAGGTTAGGCTATGGCAATACAAACATATGATTTCCCCAAACAGCGGTGTTATATATTCCTTGATGTAACTTCTGCTTTACTAAGGACTAGAAATATAAATGCTCGATAAAAAATATTTCAGGTAAAAAAATAGAACTTATATGTCACAAAAAATCATGCCAATATTAATCAGCACTATATATATGTGTACTCCAAAATTGGAGATGAGGAGAGGAAATAAAATAGAAAGTGTTTAAGCTCTCAATGAATCAACATAGCTCATGGAAATAGCCTCCTAATGAATATATAATTGGGAAGAAAACAACTCACATTCTCATGACAAAGCTGAGACAAGTTAAATACTTGGAAAAGCAACTATAAATCTATCGTGGGTAGGCAAGATCTATAGATGCTGAAGGGCAGAAAAATTCTCTCAACTCCAATAACTTTTCATTTTACAGAACAAGGAATACTGCCTAATCTAGCCTCTCATCACCTTTGCCTTTTTCTAAGCTCCGTGGAAGTCTCGTAGGATCCAAAGCCACTACTGAGAATGCTCCTGAACTAATACCACTGTGTAGGATTAAGCATATTGACTAGTGAAACAAAAAGGCAAAGTTAACAACTGTATAAACTTAAGATGCATTTCCATTTGACAGTACACACACAGCATTAGTCAGTTCAATCATAGCTGTAAGAATGATAGCTCAAACCTCCAGGAAACCTCAGGGATATCAAAAAGCCAGGCTAAGTTTTAGATCAGGGGTATCCAATCTTAGCAACTTTAAGATCTAGACCAGGGGTAGGCAACTTTGACTCTTTTATGACTCGTGGACTTCAACTCCCAGAATTCCTGAGCCAGCTATGCTGGATCAGGAATTCTGGGAATTGAAGTCCACGAGTCATAAAAGAGCCAAGGTTTGCCTACCCCTGGTCTAGAGTAGACCAAGAGAAGACATGATAGCAGTGTTCCAATATTTGAAGGGCTGCCATAAAGAAGAGGGAGTCAATGTATTTTCCGAACCATCAGAAGAAGACAGATGGAAACTAATCAGAGAGAGATCTAACCTAGAACTAAGGAGAAATTTCCAGACAGTGGGAACCATCAATCAGTGGAACAGCTGGGCTTCAGAAGTTGTGGGTGCTCCATCACTGGAGGCTTTTAAGGAGACCAGACAGCCATCTGTCTAACATGGCATGAGGTCTCCTGCTTGAGCAGGGAGTTGGACTAGAAGACCTTCAAGGTAACCCTTCCAACTCTGGTATTCAGCACGGCTGGCTGGGGAATTCTGGGAATTGGCATCCACAAGATTGGACACCCCTAGTCTATATAGTTTCTTCTTCATCCCCAACCAGAAAGCCCCAACCCCACCCAGACTGGAAAAGGTCCAGAAGGAAATCAACAAGGGTGTTCCAGAGTCTTCCGGCTTTTGGGATGAAGAATGTCTTTCTAATGTCTTTCTCGGAAGACTCAACTACTCGCCCACCCACCCAAGACCCCTCCCAGGATTTCTTGCGCTGTTGCTTCCCTTTTAAGAAAGAAATTGGCTTTTCATTCATTTTATGGCTTGTTTATGTTTTATGTTCAGCCGTCCAGGGTCACGTTTGTTGAGATGAGCGGGGAAATGAATAGGATGCATAAATCAATTGGTGGATAAATGCACTCAAGCCTTCACAGTTTAGGGGGCTTCCAAGGAGTCATCGAAGCCCACCTGGACCGCTCTCTGGGCTCCTCCGGGACAAGGAGAAAGCCCAGACCCGGAGGAGGGAAGCGGGCGGCGGGACCCTTTCCTCGCCCCCCGCCCCCCCCCCAGTCTTAAGGGCGCCCCCACTTCTTGCGAGCCCTTGCGAGGGCGATCGGGGGCGGGAAGGGGGGCCCGAGGGTGGGGCCATCCATCCATCCCACCCACCCACCGCCCGGGCGTAGGACTACAACGCCCACCCGCCACCGCGGGGAGAGTCAGGAGGGCGACACCCCCCCCCAGGCGGGAAAGCGGAACAAGCTGATGCCCTCAATGAGGAGCCTCTTTACCTTGACGAAGAGTTCAATGAGGGGCTCCTTGCCGCTGCCGCCGCCCACCTCCTTCATGCCGTTGACCGGCACCGAGAGCGCCATGCCGACCACCCGCACAGGAACGCCGCCCCTCACCAGCCTTGGCTCGGCTCCCTCACTCAGGATGACGGCGGGGGGGGGGGGAAACCAGAGGCGCTCGCTCGCTCGCTCGCTCGCTCTCCCTCTCTCCCGCCCTCCCGCACCTCACCAACCCCGCAAGCGCGACTGACGGGACGCTTTCAAGACGCCGACTATTTATACTAAAGGGGCGGGGCCCCAAGAAGGGGCGGGACTCGGAGGAAATGTCGAGAATTAAAAAAACGGGAAAGATGCAGCCCAGAGCGGAGCCCACCGTGGAGGGGAGGGGTTTAAGCGGGAGACGAGGGCGGGTCAACAGTACCAACCAGCCGGGCGCCGCTGAGAGGAAAGGAACCTCGCGCGCTCGATGCAGCCTGAAACGGGCGTGGTTGGAGGCGGGGAGGGCGGGGCTATATAGACTCCCGCCTCTTTTGCTTTTCTTAATTAGATGAGGGAGCGGTGGCTCTGATTGGTTGAACCGAAGACACGTCTCTCGAGTTTGGGTGGCTAAGTGATGCGGAGGGCGGGAAAAGGGCAAGTAGTGTAAGTTCTGAGCAAGAGGCTAGTCCCTGGCGAGTTTCAGTTGTTTAATACTTGATTATATTTTCAATTTTCAGTTTTACAAGGTGCCTTAAATTCAATATCGAGTGTTTTCAAAGTATCCAATAAAAGAAATCATAATGCACTGCAAACTATAATAAGTGCATCAATCTAGAACGACTATTTTTGGGTGAATTTTGACAAAATTACTGGATTCAGATTTTGAGAAATATAGAATATACTACTTAATGATCTAGGAATACAGTTACTCTGTATTTGGAGGTTAATATTGGACCTTCAAAACAGAGATTGGGCTGAAGTGCACATTTTGCATTCCTTGCTGACAGATCAATCTATGGACCAGATCAATCAGTGTTTACTAAAGTTGCTAAATTCTGCGCAGTCACGACTGGATTTCAAAAACTCAATTTACATAATTCCCATCAATCCTGGGAATTGAAATCAATACATTTCATTGAAATGTATGAAATTGATAAATGCCAAGTTTGAGAAACACTGGCTTAGATGGTACGTGGATAAATGATTGCCACTAACTTCATCTCCCTAATGTGCTAACTTCTCATTTTGTTTACAGCTGCATATTGTGTTAGTGTTCTCCTTTAGGCTAAAGCAGTGGTTCTCAACCTGTGGGTCGGGACCCCATTTGGGGTCGATCGACCATTTCATGGGGGTCGCCAAGCAAGGCTGTCCGCCATTTTTTTGTCNGTTGGGGTCGCGGCATTAAAAAGGTTGAGAACCACTGGGCTAAAGGAACACTGCTGGAACATAGTAGGGTTTATTTCTTAGTAAACCTCCTAAAATCCAGAATCTGGTAGCACCATTTCCGACTAACACATTTTTTAAAAAGGCATCAGTTTTCACAAGTTGCAGTTCAATTCATTAAATGTGAAGTTTCATCACAAAGCTTGTACTTTTTCCTAAAATGGGTTAGTTGGAAAAGAATTCCAGATTCTTTGCCATTATAGACTAATGCCATTTTCCTCCTACAAAGTAAACATACAGAACTGTGAAACTTGCTGAAATGGTTACGTGAGGTGCTTGATTAGGGAAAGAACAATAAATATTTTTATAAGAGACTGGAAACTCTTTCTGGACTATTTGCTGAAAATGGGCAAAAATGAATTGGTGATTTCAGGGTTTACTGATTAAAAGGATTATTTATGCAAAGAACGGAACCATAGTATGTAATTTGGGAGGGCAGAAACTGTTAATCATGTTTGTAATTGCTGCAAAGATCAAAAGTCATTTCTTTAAATATTTCTTTCCTCCATTTTTTTTTATATCTTTGACTTTTACGTTTCTCACTTTTTCTCTTTTCTTTTTTTAAAAATAATTTTTATTATCATTTTACTTTTTACAACTCTAATACATATTCAGACTGTGTCATTTTTATATACTTCGGATCAACATTCTATACAATATATACACTATATACATTCAATATCTAACTCACAATAGCCTTATTGTATGTATATTTCCAATTTTTGTTTCTATTATCTATCCATGTATACCATTTTTCTCTTTTCATATCTTTCTCTTTGCTACTTTTTAAACATTTCAGTAGTTTTTAATCATGTATGAACTTTTTCTTCAATATGTGTGTGTACACACACACACACACACACACACACACACACACACACACACAAGGGACTGTTCCCAAGTACTTCCAAATAAGCTTATAATTGGTGACATTTTGAGCTTATCAAAAAAGTTGGACCTCATCCAGACAGTAGCCACATCATAATCACTCAGCAGTCCACCACTAATCTATTTTAACTCTCTGCAAGGTACTGACTCCTGATTGCTATTTCTAGCCAAATACATCAGCAACTTCCAATTCCCCAGACACTTGATTTCCTGATGCCAGAATCAAACCAGGCATGAATCAGCTCCCTGAGGTCTTTGTTTAAAAGTGTTTGTGCACTGCAGTCTGGATGAAAGTTCTGCTGTTGGAAAGGGAATTAATTTAGTTCCTGGTTCTATACACATTAAAAAAAATAATTAATGTTAACTTTAAATTATTTTAATTGTAATTTTTAATTAATCAAATTAATAACTAAGTAAAATTAATAACTAAATCAAACATGTCCAACCTGTGACCCACTGGTTGCATGTAGCCCTGGACAGCTAGTAATTAATGCAGCTCCACAGTTACAATAAAAAATATTATAAAGGAAGGCGGTTGTTTATGTACATTAACTTTATTACATTTTTCATATGTGGCCCAAGACAATTCTTCTTCACTCAATGCAGCCCAGGCAGACCAAAATGTTGGACACCCATGAACTAAATAATAAAATTAATGTAATTAATTTATATTGGTCAAATTAATTTTAATTTTATTTAAATTAATCCCTAAATAATAAAAATAATAAATAAAATTGATATTAGTCGATATTGATGATGATGATGATGATGATGATGATGATGATGATGATGATGGAAGAGACCTTGGAGGTCATCTAGTCCAACCCCCTGCTCAGGCAGGAGACCCTATACTATTTCAGACAAATGGCTGTCCAGTCTCTTCTTAAAAGTGTCCAGTGTTGGAGCATTCACAGCTTCATACAGTAGTCAAATTAATTACAGTGGTCAAATTAATTAATTTTATTAATACAATTAATACATTCATGTACAGTATATGTGTGGAAATGTGATTTTAGGCTGAAGTGTAGAGCCCAGATTAAAAGGGATCAATATTCTGCTCTGTTCTGTATTGGTCCAACCACACCCAGAATTATTACATCCTTTTAAGTGGGACATTAACTAACTGGAGACATGTCAAGATTTTAAAAGGCACGGACGGAAAAACTGACTACTGTGTATTTAGCCTGAGAAGAAAAGACTGTGGGGAGACATGTTTTTAAGTAGCTGAAGGCTTGTCATGTGCAAGACAAGGCAGAATGGTTCATTGTTCCAGCGAACAGGACAAGAAACAATAGGGCTAAATTATAAAGAAACAGATTTCCTCAGAATATCAAGAAAAGTGTAGGGATTCCTCAGCATTGTTTTAACTCTCTTAGACACTCTTAACACAGGAGTCTTCAAACTCGGCCCTTTTTTGACTTGTGGACTTCAACTCCCAGAATTCCTCAGATGGGCAAGCTGGCTGAGGATTTCTGGGTGTTGAAGTCCACAAGTCATAAAAGGGCCAGGTTTGAAGACCCCCTGATCTAACAGATAGAACTGTTCAGAAAAACACTGTAATAGTATATTCTTGCATTAACCAACTGGGTTGGACTAATCCAGGGGTAGGCAACCTTGGCTCTTTTATGACTCGTGCTCAGGAATTCTGGGAGTTGAAGTCGACGAGTCATAAAAGAGCCAAGGTTGCCTACCCCTGGACTAATCAGTGTTTCTCAACCTTGACAACTTTAAGATGGGTGGACCAACTCACAGAATTACTTAGCCAGTATGCAAAAGGAATGGAAGGCCATGCTGGCTGGGGAATTCTGGGAGTTGAACTCCACCCATTTTAAAGTTGCCCAGGTTGAGAAACCTCTACTAGAGGGTTTCAGTGATATACAGTAGGCTTATATTGTTCTGCAATTTTACGTGAGGCTAAAACTTTTTGATTTTCCACGGAACTTCAGAGAGATGCAATTGTCAGCTCAGCAACCGTTGGTGCCCAAGGCTAGTGTAAAGACACAAAAGAGAGCATTATCTCACCTCTTTTTTGTTTGAGGCGAACTCCAGCATCCGTAGCTGAACTCATAGAAGTATTGAGGGAGGCTTCCAAAAGCAAACCCAATGCTGTTCTTTAAAATATCGCTAGGAAAATCTTTGCATTAAAACTGCAACTGTCAAATAAGGATGGTTCATATTAAGGGTTGTCCCATTATAATAAGCATCTGGCTGGACCTTGAACGTTGCAAAAACACCTCTACGTAGAAAGCTTCTATGGCAGTGATGGCGAACCTTTTAGAGACCGAGTACCCAAACCGCAACCCAAAACCCACTTATTTATCCCAAAGTGCCAGGGCTGCATTAGCATTGTGGTGTCCTGGGGGGGGCAGCAGGGGGGGGATGGCTGCAGTAGTCATGGCAGACTGGGTGGGCATGGCTGGGGTGGGCGTGGCCACCTCGATGTTGCTCGTGGGGGGTGCCTATGGGGGCTGGGCAGGATTGGGGGAGATCCAGGGGGTCTCTGGTGGGTGGGGCGGTGGGCAGGAGGCTTTTCCTGCAGGGTGTGGCAGGGGATAGGCAAGGTAAGGCGAGGGGCGGCTGCTGCCTGACACCATCGGCCCCTGCACACAGAGACCAGCGAGCTCATGGGGGCATGCTCTATCACCTCTACTCAGCTGCGCAAGATGCTGGCAGCATTGGCAGGCGTGCCCACAGAGAGGGCTCTGAGTGCCGCCTCTGGCACGCGTGCCATAGGTTCGCCACCACTGTCCTATGGAGTAGGAACAGAGCCTGTTTTTATACTTCACCTCAGTAAAAGTATCGTGTAGACTGCCCCATGTTGCCCTTTGTGATAAATTGGCAATAACTTCTTTCTCTCTTTTTTTTTAAAATACGCACGTGCGTCGGTGTGATAAAAATCCATCACTTAATGAGAAAGCAAATGATTTTGTTAAGTAAAACAAGCTATTTTTTTTCACCTAGAATAGCAGAAATGCTTGAAATGGCTGCGCGCAGCTTCTTGGGAACCAAACCTTTGGAGTACCTTGGAAGAATCAAATGTGCGCATGGCTGTGTAGGTAGTCCTCAACTTACAACCTTGCATTGAGTGACCGTTTGAAGTTACAACTTCACAGGAAAAAAGTAACTTGCAGTTGCTCTTCGTACTTACAACTGTGGTGTCCCCATGGTCACATGATAAAAATTTGGGTACTTGGCAACTGGCATGTATGTATGACAGTTGCAGTGTCCCGTGAGCGTGTGAACTCCCTTTACCACTTCCCAGCGTCTGACAAGCAGCCATTGGGGGAAGCCAGAGTCAGGGCCATGTGATCCACTTAACAACTGCAGTGATTTGCTTAACAATTGTGCCAAAAAGGGTAATAGAATTGGGTGCAACTCACTTAAAGCACCACCTTGCTAAGCAACAGAAATTCTGGGTCCCAGTTGTGGTCATAAGTTCAAGAGCTTATATATGCGAACATAGCACTTCCAGCTAAACTTCTGTCTTGTCTGCGTTCAATGACCCTCTTTCAAACGTGAATGGACCAGTGTTCCACTGAAACGTCCTTACGAGTGTGCCAAACATGTAGTGTGTGCGCGAAGGGTGAGCTGGCCTGAGGTCAGCCTACGACAGATGCTTTCCGGGGCCACTTGGACGCCTCCTCCCTCGGAACAGATCTGCCATTTCCAGCTGCAGCTTTCCTTGCCAAGCCTCCGCGACTGAGCGCACAATACCAGAATTCAAAAACTGATCACCCAAAAATACAGATGATATCGAGGGCAGGCTTGGCCTATTTTTTCCTCCAGGGTCTGCACTGCGATGGTCGTGATGTGGATTAAAATTTGCTTTTTTGTTAATTTACTTTTTCCTGTTCCCTGCCGGCTTCCTTTTTTTTTTTTTTCTTCTCAGGGGGCTAAAATTTATGCTTTCCCCCTCCTTTTTCCATTTCATTCTTTTCATTTGCTTTCCCTTCTGATTGGATCGTCTCTTGCTTCTCAGGTTCATGAATCGTGGGTTAGCTTCTCTCTGTACGTCGTTACGTGCAAGCCAATTATGTTTCCCATTTCACAATATGCATCTGTGCTTCTGTATTTATGTGTGTACACCCACACAGAGGCAGTCCTCGACTTACCAACCATTCGCTCAGCAATTGCTCAGTTACAGCACTGAAAAAAGGGACTTACAACTGATCTTTGCGCTTACCACCACTGCAGCATCCCCACGGTCATGTGATCAAAATTCAAGCACTTGGCAATCTGGCCGTGTATTTACAAAGGTTGCGACATACCGGAGTCACGTGACTGCCATTTGCAACCTTCCCCACCAATTTCCAACAAGCAGCCAATGGGAGAAACTGGATTTGTGTCACATGATCCACTTAACAACTGCAGTGACTGGTTCAATATCCCTGGCAATAAAGGTCATAAAATCAGGCGCAGCTCCCTTAACAAATGCCTTGCTTAGCAGTGGACGTCCTGTCCCAACGGTGGTCATATGTCAAGGACCATCTGCATCCAAGTGAGAAAATGCAGCTTCTGTCACTTGAGCCAATCCACCCTCTAGTGATCATCAGCTGTCACTGCTTAACACAAGAGCGTTAAGAATGAGCATAAAAATGACAACTTAGGCAAACTTCTGAAACTTAAGTACTCTCAAGAAACGCTGGATGTTATCAGCATACTGATAAATTTTGGGAATTGACATCCCAAAGAACTGGAACACAATATTGAACAGGACTCGCTAAAATAGCCCCATCTCAATCTGATTTTGTCTATTGAGTTAGTTGTTTCTCACCAGTAAAGGCGAACATTTGTAACTCAGAGTTGAAAGGATAAGTTGTTGTTTCTCAGCACCAGAATAGTTTCTTCCAGCCTAGGACCAAATACGTTTTAGAATATTTGATTGCCAAGCCTAGCTTTTAAGAGGTTGACATGCATACGTATTTCTTATGTCAAGAAAAGGCATACAAATATTCAAACGATCCCTAAGCCCACCCACAAAACGTGTGTGTGTGTGTGTGTGTGTGTGTGTGTGTAAGAGAGCTTATTTAGCATTCAAAATCAGCAACACTGGCTTCTCTCTCTGAACAAGCCATTAATGAGAGCAAATCAGGGCTTAAGTTCATGGTTCGGGACACAGTTCCAAGTTGTTTAGCCACTTTTAACTTAGAAAGGACACGTGGAAACGATCCAGCAGCATACAGACAACAAAATCCAGTAACTGAAGGATTTTAGATTGACGTAACCCAGACATGTCAAACACAAGGCCCAGGGCCGGATGCGGCCCGCGAAGTGGTTTCATGTGGCCCACGAAGCCATCCTGGAAACAGTGAGGGAACGGCCCCCGCTGCCTTGGCCCTGGCCCAGGCCGGCCGGGAGCCAATGTACAATTTTGCGGTGGCCATCTATGCTGAAACGCATTCAGTCTTAGCTCCACAAGGCCGTCCGGAAACAGCGAGAAACCAGCCCCTGCCGTGTCGGCCCCGCCCTCTGGGTGCGTGGTGGGGAGGTGTCACCCTTTGTGAGGATTGAAGAAATGCACCATCGCCTGGAAGTGGCCAGCAAATGGCCCTCGCCTACTTCACATATCCGGCTTGATGGGCTCTGCCCTGGTCCCACCCCTTTCTGCCAGAGACCCTCAGATCTGTCCCACTCCTGCCCAGGCCCCCACAGGCACTCTTGACGCGAATGATGTAGAGCTGGCCACACCCACTCCATCCACACCCACTCAGTAGGCCCCCCCGCCTCCCCCCCGAGGGCAACCGCAGTGCTGATGCGGCCCTCAATGAAATTGAGTTTGACACCCCTGACGTAACCAAATAGCCATTTTTGAGCAAAGCCAGATAGAAGATGTGAAGAGGGGACTGGCACTTGATTATAGAGATAAGAAAGATAAATGAGATAAGAAAGCCACTACTGGGACTATTTTCCCTTTTCCATTAAAGCAGTCATCTCATTCATCCACTGCCTTTTTTATATTTATACATAAATCAGGTTTAATGAGAGGAGGATGAGGATCAGGGAGATTCAGAACTTCCTCCAGTAACTCTTTCTCACCTATGAAACAGGTGAACTGAATGTGTAGAGGAACCTGAATGTAAATGCCCTTGTTCTTTGCATTGGGCAAGAATGGGAAGGTCAATTTTATAACAAGGAAAAGGTATGCTTGGGAAATAGCATCTCTTGGAAATGCATGGTGCTACAGAAGCTTCCAATATGCAGAGTCTACAGCGAGTGCTAGATGAGGGGCACCACCTTTAAAAGTTCCTCTTGGAAGAGAAAAGATTTCTGACACTCTTTGAAGCCCCCTTCAATGAACAGGATTGAACCCCTCAACAGCTCTACAAAACGAATATTGTTTTCTTAAAAATGAGAAAGGGAGGAGGAAAGATTGATACAGAAAGCTGAGGTCCTTTAAATTTAGAAATTTATTTTGTTTAATACACAAGCTTTGTAATAGCTTTAGTTTAAAAAAACAGAAACAAAACAAAACCCCCAATGTGAACATGACAATATCCAAAGTTCAGGTCCTCCAGGTTTTCAGAAACCACAACTCTGAAACGTACATACTATTCCAAAGGACTTTAACAAGAAGAAAGGAACCTATGAATGGGGCAACAACATTCCACAAAACAAAAATTTATGCCAAATTTGGCTGAGACTGCTGATCACAGGAACTGTTATTTTTTTAAAAGGAGAAGGTGAAAGGGATAATAAGAGGGGGAAAAAGGTACAAATTAAAAATCCAGTATACCAAATAGGTCTATCATATTATAATGAACTCACTGCCTTCTGCCAAGCAAGTTTATAAAGTAGATATGTTATTCCAATTTTAAACATAAATAGGAAACACTGAGAAACCTGGGTGTTTGGCAAGTGTTCCCACATAATTCTTTGCCAAGAGTGGCCTTCTCATGCCTACAAACCACAAACGTTCTGGAGTAAGAATTTACAATAGAAATGTTGTAAGCATTATGAGCTTTTAGAGCAGGGGTGGGCAACTGTGGCCCTTTATGTCCTGTGGAATTCAGCTGGCTCAGGACACCTGGGAGTTTGAAGTCCACGGGTCATGAAAGGCCCATAGTTGCCCAGCCCTGTTTTAGAGAAAATGTGAAGTTTGCTAGGCCCTTTTTTTAAACCATTGAACAGGAAAAGAGATAGGATGGGGAAGAGATCCTTGCTGCTCAAGAAAAGTCTAGCAAAATCATGTCAACTGTCAAAGGAGGTCACTAGTACACTGTAAATGATTTGTTTGTAATGAAAATCCATGCCCTTTTTTTTTTTTAATAAACATAGTGAACTTTAACCTAGCAATTATTACAACCAATGTTAAAGTCTAAAGCTCAAACACATTTTAGCAATTTGAAATTGAAATCTTTGAGTATAAACCAAATAAAATTTACACAAATCAAATGCTGCTTCGTCCTAAGACGGTGGAGATGGCTGCGCCTTCCTCATTGACATAGACCTCAGAGCTTTCTCGCGCAGGTGCTTTTCCAAGTCATCCAGGTTATCCTCCGCTTCGCTCTCAGTCTCCTTAACGCAATGGAAAGTCAGCAATTACTTCTATAGTTACAGAACATGAGCCTGGGTTAGATTTGGTCAGAGAGTAGAAACTTACATGAAACAAGCAGCCTAAAGAGTGAGGAGTCTTGCTATTGATTTCAACATTGAATGCTCTAGAGCAGGGGTCCTCAACCGTGGCAACTTTAAGACTTGTGGACTTCAACTCCCAGAATTCCTCAGCTGGCTGAGTTGCCAAGGTTGAGGACCCCTGCTCTAGAGCAGGGCTTTTCAACCATTCTACCACTTTTAGGATATGGCAACATCTGAGTACCACCAGTCGCCTAGCAAGGGGTCAAAAACCTGATGACCAAAAAAAAAAAAAAGGAAAAAAGTGATAAAGTACAGGTAGTCCTCGACTTACAACAGTTTGCTTAGTGACTGTTTGAAGTTACAATGGCACTGAAAAAAGTGCCCTCCAAGCCACAGCCGAGCAAGACACCTGCCTGCCCGCCTGGCGGCGCTCTTCCTCCTGTCCGAGGTTTTCATTGTTGTGAGCATTTCTGTTGAGGATTGGCAGTGGGGGTGGGGTGGGGGGGTTGTTTAATTTTTATTCCCCCCGTCTGCTGGGTGGTTGCAGCAGGTTTTGGTCACTTCACATGACCCTGGGACACTGTGACCATCATAAATATGAATCAGTTACCAAGCATCTGAATGTAAATCACAAGACCCTGGAGAGGCTGCAACATTCCAGCTGATTGGCGCTTCTTCTGGGCTCAGCAGAAGTGCCAGGATCAGTGCTGCTTTCCAGCTGATTGGCGCTTCTTCAGGGCTCAGCGGAAGCACCAGGATCAGCGCCGAGCTCCACCTGGAGCCCGGTGCTGATCCTGGTGCTTCCGCTGAGCCCTGACAGCCCTGCAGCTCCAGCCATCTCTCGCTCAGGCTTGTGCGGTGCTGCCACCGGTTCAGCTCATTCCCCTCCCCCGCTACCACTTTTCTAGGATGGTCGCGTACCACCTGCCAGGTGCCAATGTACCACAGGGGGTACACGTACCACTGGTTGAAAAGCCCTGCTCTAGAGTAGGACATAATCTCACATGCATATTGGTTTTAAGGTTAAGCCACCTACCGATGCCCAAATCATATAGCAGAGATTCCAAAACTAAACACAAACTTTGTTCCAAGAAAAAGAATATTCTTAAAAACTCTGTAAGAGGACTAGCATAATAGAATTTTAATATGATCCCCGAATCCTTAATTTAGTCATATCAATGTTCAATCTTAAAGATGAAAAAAAAAGCATTTAAGTTTATTTAAACAGAAACTTAAATATTCACCTTTTTGGGCTCCACATTTTTTTCTTGATCTTCCTCTGCAGATGTTGTCAAAGCAGCCATTGCAGCAGCTACAGCAGCCTTTTCTTTCTTATGCTTTTTGTGTTTCTTGTGCTTCTTGTCCTTTTTATGCTTCTTATCCTTCTTTTTCTTCTTCTTTTTACCACCTCCTTCCTGATCAGAAACCTGTGAGATCAAGCCATCATTTAAAACAACACATCTTAAAATTACATCTCTGCCCCATGCATTGCAAGTAGCAATTCCAAGCTGAGTCTTGACAGACATCTCTTGTTTAAGAACGGTCCACTATTTTCACCTTGAAAATAGGTTTGTCCATCAAATGCACATAAGAGATCCAGTTACAGATCTTTCCTCGTCCACATCCACAGAATTTGGTCTGTCACACTAGTCATACAGCAGTTGGAATAGGTTCACACATTCCCTGAACTGAACTCAACTATCCTTGCGTTATGGCATAAAAGTGATGTATAATCTCAGCCACTGTTCCAACCAATTAAAAAGACAGTGGATCAAATGAAGCCTCCCACGTTTACAACCAAAATTACTCACTCGTACTGGTGAGGGGCTTGGTGTTGGACTTTTAGCCTTCTTTGCAGGTGCTACTGGTGACCAGTGAGCAGAAGGGGATGCTGATCGAGCAGGTGATGGAGGTGCTGGATGCTTCTTGGGGGATGGTTCAGGGGATGCTGAAGCTGACCTGGATGAGGATCCCCTTCTCACAGAATGGGGACTTGGTGGAGAAGCCCTTAGAAAGAAGAGGCAGAACATATTATACTTTCTAGAAAAGGCAGAAAAATCAATGTTGAATAATCAAATCAGCTGTGAATTTTATAGTGCTTGATTCCAAAGTGGGGGGGGGACTTGTTTTTACTCATGGTACCTATGATACTGGAATGCCATGCATCTTGACTGGAGGAACTATTACAGCAATAGCAATAGCACTTAGAGCAGGGATAGGCAACCTTGGCTCTTTTATGACTCATGGATTTCAACTCCCAGAATTCCTGAGCCAGCATGGCTGGCTCAGGAATTCTGGGAGTTGAAGTCCATGAGTCATAAAAGAGCCAAGGTTGCCTACCCCTTAGACCAGTGGTGGCGAACCTATGGCATGGGTGCCAGAGGCGGCACTCAGAGTCCTCTCTGTGGGCACCTGTGCCGTCGCCCCAGTCCTAGTCCTTCAGCTCGGTTTTATAAAACCTTTTCACTTTAGGCCTCCGCCACCGTGTACAAAAAAAAAAGGTTCAATCAATCAGTCAATTTCAACTTCTCGTAGGAAAAAAAAAGATCTTGCAAAGTTGGAATTGATTGAACTTTTTAGTCCCACCCAGTCTGCTGTTACCGCTGCAGCCACACCCACCCAATGGGCCACACCCACCCGGCACCCGACGATGCATAAGTGGGTTTTGGGTTGCAGTTTGGGCACTCGGTCTCTAAAAGGTTTGCCATCACTGCCTTAGACTTATATACCACTTCACAGTGCTTTACAGCTCTCTCTAAGTGGCTTACAAATTCAGCAGACTGCCCCCAACAATCTGGGTCCTCATTTTGCCGACCTTGGAAGGATGGAAGGCTGAGTCAACCTTGAGCTGGTCAGGATTGAACTACTGACAGTGGGAATGCAGAGTCAGCCTGCAATACTGCATTCTAACCACTGCACCGCCACAACTCTTACAGGTATAGCCCAATAATCTAAATCAGGGGTAGGCAACCTCGGCTCTTGTATGACTCATGGACTTCAACTCCCAGAATTCCTGACTCAGGAATTCTGGGAGTTGAAGTCCATGAGTCATACAAGAGCCGAGGTTGCCTACTCCTGATCTAGATCCATGCTTTTTAAACTTGGCAACTTTTGAGATGCGTGGGCTTCAGCTCACCGTGTCCCCCAGCTACACATCTTAAAAGACGAAGACGGCTGCCCCTTTAGCCCCATGTGTATCACTTACTTCTTTGACTTCTTGGGCTCTGGAGTCCTTGAGACTCTTCTGATGGGCCTAGAGCTTGGAGACGGCGACTGCCTTCGCTGGGGTGATGAAGAAGGACCCCTGCGCAACAATGGGGGGCTGGCAGAGGTCCGTAAAGGCCTAGGCTGTGGGGAAGGTGAATGCCGCTTGTTCTGCAGTGGGGAGCGGGGTTCCCGGTTGGACCTGCTAGGAGGGGAGCTTTTCCTGTGCTTAGAAGATGCAGAGGGTGAGCGTCTCTTTGCGGGTGGAGAACTTCTCTGTTTTGGCGGTGGAGAGCGAGAGACTCTGAGCTTAGGCTGCGGAGAAGGAGAAGCCCTTCTTTTCGGGGGAGGAGATGCTGTTCGCCTCTTTGGAGGAGGGGAAGGAGAATACCTCCTCTGTATGGGAGGCGAGTATCTTCTGGGTGTAGGCGAATGCCGGCGAGGGGGTGGCGAAGGAGACCTAAGAGGTAAGAAGGCACACAAACACAGTGATCAAATTACTAAGTTGCAAGGGTTGCCTAGGCAAATCACAAGATGAGAGAACAAAAATATTGCACAAGTAAAATAGAGGAGTGGGTGATTTTTACTTCTCTGCAATTAGGTATCGCAGCAAAAACGTATCAGGAATCACCTGTTAAAATCTAAATGTTCTAATATATATTTTTTAATCTTGTTAATAGTAATAAAGTTGGAAGGGACCTTGGAGGTCATCTAGTCCAACTCTCTGCTCAGGCAGAAAACCCTGTATCATTTCAGACAAATGGCTGTCCAGTCTCTTCTTAAAAACTTCCAGTGTTGGTGCATTCATCACTTCTGGAGGCAGGTTGTTCCACTGGTTAATTGTTCTGTCAGGAAGTTTCTCCTTAGTTCTAGGTTGCTTCTCTCCTTGATTAGTTTCCACCCGTTACTTCTTGTCCTGCCTTCAGGCGCTTTGGAGAACAGCTTGACTCCCTCTTCTTTGGGGCAGCCCCTGAGATACTGGAACGCTGCTATCCTGTCCCCCCTCGTCCTTCTCTTCATTAAACTAGACATACCCAATTTCAGCAACTGTTCTTCATATGTTTTAGCCTCTAGTCCCCTGATCATCTTTGCTGCTCTTCTCTGTACTCTTTCTAGAGTCTCAACATCTTTTTTACATCGTGGTGACCAAAACTGGATGCAGTATTCCAAGTGTGGCCTTACCAAGGCCTTGTAAAGTGGTATTAATACTTCACGTGATCTTGATTCTATCCCTCTGTTAATGCAGCCTGGAACTGTGTTGGCTTTTTTGGCAGCTGCAGCACACGGCTGGCTCATTTCTAAGGGATTGTCCACTAGGACTCCGAGATCCCTCTCACAGTTACTACTATTGAGCAAGGTACCCCCTATACTATACCTGTACATTTGGTTTTTCTTTCCTAAATGTAGAACCTTACTTTTTTCACCATTGAATTTCATTTTGTTAGATAGCGTCCAGTGTTCAAGCCTGTCCACATCCTCCTGTATCTTAAGCCTGTCTTCTGGAGTGTTGGCTATTCCTCCCAGCTTGGTGTCGTCTGCAAATTTGATGAGTTCCCCATCTATCCCCTCGTCCAAATCGTTGGTAAAGATGTTGAAAAGCACTGGGCCCAGAACAGAGCCCTGGGGCACCCCACTACACACTTCCCTCCATGTAGATGCGGTTCCATTGTTGTATTATAAAGGTCAAGGCTTTTTCTGCTCTTAGTTGTTTTGTATGCGTTTTAATATATTTCTGTAAATCATCCTGAAGGGATTGGCTATTAGCAGCATAAAATGTTTTACACTTATTAAATGAATAAAGTTCCTTCCCCCCCCCCCCCAAAAAAAATACTACAATGCATGCTATGGAGTGGGACATACTGGTTTCCACATCAGGGACCAGCATTTTCTACAAGCATGCAAGACTGCAACAGCATTACCTTCGCCGTGGGGGCGACGGTGACCTGCGACGCCTTGGAGGGGGGGCAGGAGAAGGAGACCGTCGTCTTCTGGCTGGTGGTGGGGAGGGACTTCGCCTCCTTCTACTATAAGGAAAGAGGACAGTAAGTTTGAAAAAAACAAGGAGATGCTTACAGTATTATCAAGCTTTAGGTCAGGTTCCACAAGCCCCAATCCAGTGGTCAGGAATTATATCTGCAGCCAAAGACATCTGGAAACCACCATATTGCCTGCCCCTGCTTTAGGAAGTGCCTGGTTTCTACGATAGGAAACCTTACCCTTGATGATAAAGCTGAATTGTCTTGTGCATAATTGCCTGAATAGGCAACTAGTGTATAATTGAAACTTGGGAGATATATATTTGGCAATTAAGGTGGTATATAAAGTCTTCTCTTGCACAAGCGCTTCCATGTTTTTGTTTTTAAAAATTATGTTTTTGAACTTCTGCCCAGTGATCAAATAAATTATGGAAGCAATGAAGGCTGGAAGTTTAAGGGATATATTTAAATCACTTCTGCAATTTAGTAAACATTAAGTAGATCAATTAATGGGTTGCCTATTTCTTCCATTATTCTACTTCCATTATTCTAGCTTTTTTCTCCCTCACAGCTATAGTTACAAAAAAAGAAGCAGATAGCAAACACCCACTTTTACTCCACCATTTATGTTATTTACTTATTTTACTGTATTTTCTAGAAGTGGTTGTGATTAAATCAGCAGTAAATGCTCCATTCCCAAAACACATTAAATTTTAACAGAGTGACCTGCTGACCAACCTTTTAACGATTGGTGACTGCCACCTCTTTCCCATCTGCATCCTGACAGCAGTGGAGGGAGGAAAAAATTGAGAGGTCAAGGATCCCAGATTTATTTGTGAGGATGAATTATCAGGCAAAAACTGATCAAAGTTACAATATACATTGTATTGCAGTGCATAATGGCCCATATCTGCACACAACAAATCCCTTACTCATCAGGTAAATATCTACCCTTTGTGTTGCTATCAAAACTATGTAATAATGGATGAAACTGAGAAGAATGGAACAGAACCACAAAATTGTCACGGATAAAATGAAAGCAACTACTGGATACGATAGCTGGGTTCATACTGTATTTATGGAATGGTTCATTAGGGTATGAACTCAGCCATTAGGGTTTATAAACCATGGCTTTATGGCTTAATATGATGTCAAGACAGGTTCTTATTTTTTAAAAACTAGCCGTGAACAGAGAAACCATAGGTTAAGAGTGATCTGTGAATTTAGCCAGATGCTTTTAGAATATTCACTGCTACCAATTCAGAAATTCCAGTAGCTTTTATGAGATGGTCAAGAAACCATCAGTAACAAAGAAAATCAGCCTGGATACACAACAGTAATTTACCGAGGAGAAGATTCTTTCTGCCACTTTCGTGGAGAAGGAGATGGGCTGCGGGAATGTGAGTGCCGCCTCCGTCTACCCACTTCACCGTTTTTCACATTTGATTTTTTTGGTCGCTCTTCTTCAGATGATGATGATGAACCAGAATCTGAACCACAATAAATAATTATTAAAATGTGGTATAATTTTGCAGTGCAGTAACATCAATTAAAACTTTTACTCATCACTAATAAAATCAAATCTTGTTTTTTACAAATGCTTTAATATATTCATACATATTTGGGTTTCATGGGCAACAAACAAAGCTTTATTACTAGATTTTCCTCCAATTTCTTTCTCTATGCACCACTATCTCTTGCTTCTAAAAGCAAACTTTTGCTCACATTTAAGACTTCGTGTCTTAAATTGCCATCAGGACACAAGAATTCCCAGTCTATGTCAAATTACAACTTTTTCAATGGGAAAAATGTTGTTTTAAATCACTATACCAGAGAAGAAATCCCAATAAATAATAATCAACTTATTTCAAGTATACATATATAAGAATATAAAATACTATACCAGATGAAGATTGCTGGTTCTGCCTTCTGTACTGTCGTCTTTGCTGCACGGAGTCTGCAGTTGCCATTTTACCACCTTTGTCTTCTTCTAAATATTAGGCAGAAAAGAATTATATTTCACATTAACAAAGTACTTTGAGACTTAATATATACCAACTATGATCCTCCTTTGTATACATTTAAAAAAATAAGTTTTAGTTCCTTTAGGCTTTTTGGCTATGCAAATCAAATGATGACTGAGATCCGATTGCAACTTTTCCTTTCATTATCACAGACATTAGAAAATACAGGCCAATTCTGAAACGTACCCGATTCTGACAATTCAACTTTTCTTGGTTTTGGTGCAGGCGAGGGAGATTCTCTCTTTTCAATACTTTTGTGTTTAGGTGCTGAGAAGAAAAAAGTAAACAACATTTAAAACTCATTTATATCATATTCATGTGAAAGTATTTATGATTCTTATGCAAGTCATCTTATTAAAAATAATGTCAATATTTAAGAGGTCTACTTATTTCATCAACTTCAGAAAAATGTGCTAGCTATTATCATTCATATAGGAATTACTATATTGTTTCAGAGTGTATAATTTCACAATTATAACCAGCACCTAACGATCCTTTAAATGAAAAATAGTAAAGAGTTAGAGGCTGGAAAGTTCTACCTAAAAGGAGGGCATTTCTTTCAGTATTTTACATAGAAGACTGTTGATTACGACGACACACAAAACAAGTAACTGAACTGTTCAAAAATGCAGAAAAGGACTGGTCAATTCCACACAGTACGCTACAGCCCAGAAAACAGATCTTACTAGAAAGATTGCAGTTTTTCTTTTAAAGTTAGGTATTGCTAGTTAAGCACTTTAATACAGAAGTATTTGAAGCTAAAAATATTCTCAGAATGGCTTGGAGTATTTTCAAAAAATACTTCCATTTACCTGAAGTCCTATTGGGAGAAACAGAGCTACGGGCTTTTCTTGTACGATTAGATTGCTGTGGTGTTGGTGACCTACGGGGTTTGGGGGGAGGACTGGGAGGTGGGGAGGGCCGGTGTCTTCGTCTTGGGGGGCTGGCAGAAGGAGAAAGCCTTCTTGTTTTCCGAGGAGGGCTAGAGACAACTCTCTTAGGTGGCTTCTTTGGTGGCGATCGAGAACGTGAAGATGACGAGGATGAACTACTTCCTGATAATGACGCTGATGATCTCCTCCTCCTGAAAGATTAAAGGTGATATCAAGTATGCTCTAAAAATAGTCTTAAGATTGTTTTGCCGTTTCACAAACATTTTACTAACTCCTAATACAATACTTCCAATAACAGAACGTTCATTTTCTACATTATGCAGAACTATTGGTTGCATCACCTTATAGTTAGACACCATTTAGTGATGGTGAAAGTTTCTGGATTAAGAACTGGATAGTCTGAACGTTTAACATATTACACAGTGTTTTTATTCTTGGTCAAAAATCACTCAAAATAAGGGAACTGAAAAATAGTTGATCTTTTCCAAACATAAAACATCCAGATAAGCATATACGGAGTCAGCAACTAAGCTGAATTTATCACATTACATTTAAAGGAGGGCCCACAGAATTCTGACCACAATGGTAGTCAGTTCTTTTGCTCTCATCTAGTTGATGACCCCACCTTTGGTTGTAGAATTCCCAAGAACCTGGGGGAGCAACACTCATTAGAAGTAGGGCCATATGACTAAGAAACTAGACTTCTTATAAGTCTACTAAGCAAACTCAACTGCTGGTTTGTCTGCCTCAACTTTACAAATGTCAATATCAGCAGCAGTAGAAAAGGGTCCCACAGTAAATCAGAGAAGCGGTTTTAAACAACATTGCAAACAATCATCGTGTTCTACCTTGAAAGTCCTCTTGCCCAATGCATAGCCACAAATATATTTCCAACTAAGGGGCCAACTAAACTGATATATAAGTCAGTTTAAAATGCGAATAACGAAGGGAAAAAAGGTCTTAATTTGTAAGATAACAATTTTTCAAAATAAGTGGCATAAAAGTTTAATAATAAATAAGTACAAGGTTTCATAGCCTTGTTTCCCTGACAGATTTGTGTTGCAAAGCAGACCTATTCCTACCAGCCAACCTGAAACCTATTGTCTACTATCTTCTCCCCGACACCCAGAGAGCAACAAAAAGGTAATCTTCTTCCTATTTGGGGTGTGCCCTGAAGTACAATTGCTGGAACTGCAGCTAAGCTCTAACAAAGATTTGGAGGGCACCAGGATGGGACGGTCCCAAAAGATTTCAGTGTTAGTGATTGTTGCCTCTAAACTCCACAATTCTCACCGCCTCACAGGAGATCTGCTCCTTCTATGCCTGGGTGGAGGTGGAATACGTCTCGGTGGAGTTCTTCTCCTAGGAGATGGGCGTCTTCTTGGGCTAGGCCGCCTTCTTGGTGAATAAGACCTAATGGTATAAATGACAAAAAATCAGATACTGAACCCATTTGCAGAACTGAATGTTTGCAAAGTTTCCAAGGGAAGGGAGAGCAATAGCACCTGCCTACATGCCACAATGACAAACTGGTCTAGATGTCTTCTTTGTGTAGCACAGGAAAGGGGACTGTTTTATGATAATATGCATCAAGAAAGGCAAGGCTAGTATAAGTATGAAGATAGATAAAAAAAAACACCAAGAGAGGCTCATTTGCGAATAATGGATAAATATAAGCATTTTTATGGAAAACTAATTTATAAGGCTTCATATATTTAATATTCTCAATTATCATTATTAACAAGGTAAGACACACTTGCAATGGTTAACAAGGCTAGGTATAACTTGAGCTATTCTCAGAAAGAATTTGAACTATCTAACCTGGATCGTGATCTATGACGTCTTCTTGGTCTCGAATGAGATGGGGAACGTGATCGAGACTTTGATCTTGACCTAGATCGAGATGGAGATCTTGGACGAGCCTTCTCCTTTTCTTTTTCCCTTTCTTTTTTTGAAACTCTTTCTGGAGATATTTCTTTAGTATCTGGCGTAGGTTCAATTTTACCGACTTTCAAGATATCACTGTTAAAATAAAAAAGTCAAGGCTATATTATAACAACACTTATTGTATCGCTATTTTAGGACACACTATGTTATATAACAGGATATTTAGCAACTAGTATTGCTAAACAGTGCACGACATCTAATTTATAATAATAATAATAATAATAATAATAATAATAATAATAATAATAATNATGTTGGAAGGGACCTTGGAGGTCATCTAGTCCAACCCCCTGCTCAGGCAGGAAACCCTATACCATTTCAGACAAATGGCTGTCCAGTCTCTTCTTAAAAACTTCCAGTGTTGGAGCATTCACCGCTTCTGGAGGCAGGTTGTTCCACTGGTTAATTGTTCTCACTGTCAGGAAATTCCTCCTTAGTTCTTGGTTGCTTCTCTCCTTGATTAGTTTCCATCCGTTGCTTCTTGTCCAGCCTTCAGGCGCTTTGGAGAATAGCTTGACTCCCTCTTCTTTGGGGCAGCCCCTGAGATCCTGGAACACTGCTATCATGTCCCCGTCCCCCCCCCGTCTTTCTCTTCATTAGACTAGACAACCGTTCCTTCATTAGACTAGCAACCGTTCCTTATATGTTTTAGCCTCCAGTCCCCTAATCATCTTTGTTGCTCTTCTCTGTACTGTTTCTAGAGTCTCAGCACCTTTTTTACATTGTGGTGACCAAAACTGGATGCAGTATTCCAAGTGTGGCCTTACCAAGGCATTATAAAGTGGTATTAATACTTCACGTGATCTTGATTCAACAAAACCAGGAGGAAAAGAATTAATAATCTGTGGTGTTACCTGGTAGATGTGGCCTCCTGGATCAACGTTTCTTTTACTTTGATGGAAGGTTCTGGTTCTGGTGTCTCTTCTTTCTTTACTGGTGGAGGTGTAACACTGCGACTTTTGGCTGCGTGGTGGGGTGATCGAGAATGGCTAGGTTTCCTCTCTTTCCTAACAGGAGATGAGCGTCTTCTGGGGGAAGGAGATCTTGATTTGCGTCTAGACAAATGTAGATTTAGTTTAGGATGGATCTTAAAAAAAAATATGCTCAGCACAAAATCCATTTCGATTAAGAACCTTTATAACATGGACACCCCGAACCTTCTAATTTGATTGCTGACTGAACAGGTATAATTACTGCCTTCTGTAACCTTCTGGAGAAGGTCCTTGTAACTGTAAGGACGAAAAATGTGATGGGGTGATGCCATGTAGGCAGGCCCTTTCCTTCCCATCTGCCTGTTCTGAGTACTGTATCTGGGGAAGCTTGAAAGTACTTGAGCTGAAGGCACTTAAAGTCCATCAAAGAGTTGGACTTGGCCTTATCAGAAGCCTCAGTACAGAAGTTTTGTGTTCAATATGCTTAGTTAGCATAAAGGAACTGGGTGGCTGGATGCAATATATATGGGCAAACCCTTGGTTCTTTCATGTGTTCAGCTAAATACCTGCAGCAAGCAAAGCAAGGCAAGAGTGCACTTCAACCACAACATCGAGACAGCAAGTGTTAAGATCGCATATTAAAACGTTTTCATGCATAACTGGTCTATCAAAATCTCCAAGACATGACAAGAGTCAACATGCAAATAAATGCCACCTTCTAGGGCTCCGAGAGCGGTCCCGCTTTTCTCTGTTCTCTTTATCTTCTTTGTCTCGCTTATCCTTGTCTTCGTCTTGTTTCTTCATTGAAGCCAATTTTTCCTGTTCAATCTGAAAACAGCAAATGCCAACATTTTCTTAATTAAAAAGCACACACAAAAAGCTGAAACCTATTCTACTCAATTACTGACAATGCCCTAGGCATTCATGTATACCACTTTTAAAGAATGAAACTCTCTAGGCTGGTCTTGCCAGCTGAGGCTTTGGGGAATTGTAATTCAGCAACTTTTAGAGTGATTTGGAAAGTCCGCATTCCTTCCCCTTTGGTTATCCATGTAATGACCTTGTGTCAGGAGTTTCCTGATTTACTGCAGAATCCAGCCTGGGAGGCTGGAATGGGCAATCTTTTTATTACCAGGCATCACACACCTTTGTTGAAATTAAGTTTTTATACTGTTGTAATTCCAGCAGGAACATAATAAATGCATTCAACTCCAGAAGACATGAAAAAAGACTGGAAGTTCTGCATCTGTCCCTGACAACAACATTTTGTGGTTGTTTTACTCCGTGCTAATATAAACAAATTTATATTGAATTTCCTGCTGCAAATCAGTGGAAAATCATGCCACAAATTTGCCTATGATTTTTGACAGTCCAACCTTGAGAGGGCCAAGTCATACTATTTGCCACTGAATATACCTGCCACCTTCTCTATATCAAGTTACTTACAAGAATATGATAGATTTCATACCAATCTAAAGTCTCAACTTTTACTCCATCAGGATAAATAGATGCTTCTGTTACCAAATCAGATTACTTATCATAACACATCCCCCCGAACATGTAAAGAAGTGCCTTTGTTTTCTGTCAGAAGATTGGTGGGAATAATTAAAATTGACTGGAAGAGATAGTAAACTGTAATAAACTGGAAATAAATACCAGAGCATTTTGTTGTACTCCTAACAACCTATTAGTGTCTCCAAAAGTTTAAAGACAAATAATAAAAGGAAATTTGCTCTATCGGACACATTTTACTTGGCAAATTTGTAATGTTTAATTAAAACAAAATATTATCATACAATTGAGATAGTTAAGCACCTTGGCTTCAAACACTCATGACTAAAAACTGGGGAAAACCAAATTCCATTCTTGACAGCAGAAATGAACACTGTTCAGCAGGCAATCAGACTATCTTTTTATAGATGTTATGCATACAATAAGAACTAATTGTTCATGTCTTCAAATGTTTCTAGTGCTCACATCTTTAAAAAAATCTTTTTGGCAGTCAGTGTTTAGTAACTGAAAAATTCTAAGATACTGCACTCAATTATTAGTGTCTGAAGTTAATACTTTCTATCCACTTTGTTCTCTTATATTTTCACCAAAGTGATTATTACAGATATTCAGATCATATACTAATTTTTCAAATAATTCTCCAGTGCTATTCTATTAATCAATCATTATTTGGCCTTAGATTTAAACCCATAACCCACCCTTAACATAACCCCACCTGTCTTTGTTTTATTTCTTCTTTCTTCAGCTCCAGAAAAGCAGATGGAATACCAGCAATGTTTTCTTGTGCACTTAACAGCAGTGGCCACAGTTCTCCCATGAATTCTCTCGCATTTTTCCCATTCAAAAATCCAGTCAAGTTGATTTGCATCATTTTGGAATCTGGATTCTGTAAAGAGATATGACAGGAAGAAATACAGGTTATTTGAAAAACCAAACCCACACAAATTATTCTTTATTTTGATTTAATCTTCTACCATGGACAAGAGCATATTACACTCATTTTATTAGTGTATTTAAAAAAAAACTTTGCTTAAAAGTTGTTCAGTAACTGTCCTAACAAATAACCAACATTGTCTTGCCTTACCATTACATTCAGAGTGGCCTGTTAATCCTTTGTGGATTTCATAAGAAGGTGTGATCTGTACAGCCACTGAAACAGAGGGCCATGAGTTTGCCATAGCAGCATAATAGATGGTGTATGATTCTTCTAATTAACTTTCTAAACATTTTCCCTAGCATTCTTTGGTGCTGCTCCTTGAAAAGCCATTTTAGTTTATCCGTACAATGGACAGAAGCTGTACACTTAACATTACAGAATCATCATCTACAATATCACTGAAATCCTGCTAAGAAAACTGAAAAAAGAATTTATGCATGCATTTTCTTACTTCCATCAGTAAACTAAACTAAACCTCCACTAACTATTTAATGGAATGAAAGCTGCCACCATTTCCTTAACGACAATTATGTGACGGCCACAAAGGATTAAGAGGTCAGGTGTGGTTCACAGTACAGGTGGGCAATTTAGTTCTAAAATTGTTGGTCAAAGCAACAAGGTCCATGTAACAAGCACAGCTCAACAGCACAAAGCAAGTACAGATTCCAGGTGTCTTCTTTTTCTTCTTGGAACTTTGGGGGGTTTGGAATCGCCAAGTCCCCTGTAGAGAAAGATGTTCCCTTGGCTTGCTTCCGACTCCCTACTGCAACTCAATCACCTTGAGTTTAATGTTATACCATTTATCTAAATTGCAAAAGACGAACAAGCAATAATGAGTACACAACCACAGAAAGAAAGAAAAAGATTTTTTTTTTAAAGTTCTAAACTTCAAATCATGCTTTCTATGAAGGGGAATTAAAACTGCACACTTAGGTTTTATTTTATTAACACATATTAGTAAGCTACTTCCTACCACAATTTCATACTTCATCTGATTCCCCTAAAACCTGCTCCCCCCAACAGAATTTCTATTAAAGTACATTAAGGGATTACAAATATGGATACTTCAAAACCTATATTCAAATTACAGTGTCTTTTTAAAAAAAAACCAGCAATACCTTTCTCAATTGAAATTTCAACTGTTCAGTCAAAATCAAAGATGAATTCTTTGGAAGAAAGATTGAGCATAGAGAATATTAGACAAGAACATTTTGCCAATGGTTCAGAGAAACACTTTACTATCTCTTGGAATGCAGCGGCAGACTGTGTAAAATAAAAAGACTGTGTTTATCATGAACGCAAGTTCGTTTACGCAGTTCATGCTATACAGTATATGTCTCGCTATCGATTAGCTGTATTCCAGTGGTGCAGTCCAGCTCCACTGATATCAGAGGGGTGCCTTGCCACTGATTTCAGTGAAAAACAGCTTGAACCTTTAAGCCTTCCCAATTAAACTGAAGTGTACATTTATAATTATAAAACCCGCCATCCCAACTGAACATAGTTCTAAACAGAGTAGGTCTCCACTGAACGCCTCTTACCAATTTAGAACTGCACTTCATTCTTTATATTTAATGTGATTTAATTCAAAACAATTTCAAGAGCAGTGTAAAGCTTTGCCCAATTTCTTTCTGTTGGATGCTTTCTCTGTCTTTGGTTCGGCCACTTTACACAACTCACCTCCAAACACACACTGCATCATCAAGGGAGTTGGTCAGAGCGACATTGGACACTCACTCTGCTGTGACCTAATAAGGTGATGGTGCTATACTTCAGACGCAAGGAATAACTTCCATTTTGGTTCAGGCCTTTTAAATCATAAATCACATCATCATTAGAAAATTGCTGTCAAAGTAGCTTAACACGTAACAGCAAAATCAACACATTAAGTCTGATTTTTCACCTGAGCAGTTTTGCATACTATGCACCTTCACTAAAACTGTCAACCTTAACAAATGTTTTACAAAGTGAATTATTCACAATATGCATTGCAACAAAAACCCTCCTAATTTCAACTGGTTTTTTGACAGAAAAATTCAGTTTGCACAGAATAATTATGCAATACATTTACGGATATGGAAAAACAACCACAGCAAAATTATTACCTTCACTTCCAACTGATTGAATATAAATTCAATTACTACATCATCTTCAAATCCAAGGATTTCTGTTACTCTCTTTGTTATCCATGGCTTGATTACTTCCAGGTTTACCTTGCTCATGTCAACCTACAGAGTGAGATAAAGAATTTTAAAACATGCCTTGCTTGATACTGCAATTACTACTGCAAAATCTTGGCATCCTACAATATAGCAACAAGCACCACAGGTCAACCTGCTGCATGGTCATATTCACCCCCATTAATTCTCACTCATGTTGAAGTCTAGCAGTTTTGGAAGATATTAAGGAGGCTTTCACTAATAAACAGTACATAGTAGGTAAACTGTAATCTATTGCTGTGCAACAATACACAGGAGATAGACATGTATAGTGTTTATGCACAAATCAATCAATGTGGTTTGTGATCCTTCTTAGTAGCTTTCTTACCGGTTACTGGAAGCCATTTTATTAAAACTTATTTTTTAATATCATCTAACTATCTATAGCGATTAGAATTTTCTTAAACAGAAACAATTCTTCCAAAGAGTATTATCTGCACATTTCTGTATAGGGAATCGACATACTGCCCATAGACATGACTGTAGTGCAATTGCTTCCTTACTATTTTTAAAAAATTAAAAATGTTTTACTCTTTTTGTCCTGAAATGAGATGCTGTTATTCAGATGGTGGGATATTAAAACTCCATGCTCTCATTTGAAGTGCCCCCAGCCATTTTTTTTTCTGCTTATCACCAGTTTATATGAGAAATGATATTTTGGTTGGGAAGGGACTTCCCTTCTGCTCTATTCTTAGCTTCTCGGTAGTTATGTGTCTCTGAGGTACATCAATCTGCCTTCTGTTATAGGGAATTTGGATTAGAGTAGATTCTAAACAGAAAACTGTTCCAAAGGAAATGGATGCATACAATGGAACTTGAACCCTAATCCGTCTTTTGTATGTAGTTGTTCTGTTACATTGTGACTCTCAAAATTCCAAATAAGTCTACTGACTTGAACTGCAGCAACTGTAAGCTGTCCTTACAAAGTTAAATATCTATTAAAATAAAATTAAATATAACTTAAACATACTTTCTTTTCAAGGCATTCTGCAAATTTCAGTTGTTTTAGTAGCTTCTTCTGTTTGTTGCTGAAGCGATTATCCTGTTCTGCACTTGTACCCTGTAAGAATAAAATAATTCAGTTACAGATAGTCCTTGATTTAGTGATTGTTCAAAGTTACAATGGCACTGAAAAAAGTGATTTATGACTGTTTTTCACATTAAGACTGTTGCAGCACCCTTATGATCAAGTGATTAAAATTCAGGCACTTGACAATTGACATGCATTTATGACAATTGCACTGTCCAGGGGTCATGTGATCATGAGATCACTATTTGTAACTTTCCTAGCTGGCTTATGACAAGCAAAGTCAATAGGGGAAGCCAGATTCATCTTAACCACCACATGATTCACTTAACTGCAATGATTCACTTAACAGTGGCAAAAAGGACATAAAATGAGGCATAATTCACTTAACAATTGTCTGCTTAGCAACAGAAACTTTGAACTCCATTGTGGTCCTAGATTGAGGACATTCAAAATCTTGTTCTCAACTTCATTAATATTTCCAAAAACACTTTGCATAAACCTTCTGGCTTGTCAACTATAAGCTATGTTTTAAAGAAAATCAGAACACCATACAACCTCCCAGAAATCAAACAATTCTGAATTAATGTATCTTACAAGTAAGTATACACGTACACAATGAATTGCTTGCTTGCTTGTAGTGTCATTACCTTAATTTATTGTATTCATAATTACAACAATCAAAAGACTAAAGTACTATTGCGTGTTTTTTTTTTGTGCCTTCAAGCCAATTTTGGCCTCTGGGTGACTGCCTAACAACTTGCTGCAGTTTTCTTGGTAAGATTTGAGGTGATTTGCCATTGCCTCCTTCCTAGACTGAGAGAGAATGACTGGCAATCACCCAGGTGGTTCATGCCTCACGCAGGACTAGAATTGGGTTTCCTGGTTTCCAGCCTGATGCCTTAACCTCTAAACTGGTGCTCCAAAATATTAAAATATGAAGACAAAAACAATTCCACTGAAGAGTAACAACATGCTATTAAAATGAGAGAAATAATATAAAGAATTAGAGGTTCAATGTTCTGTTCAACTGAGATTTACTTTCAATAATTTGCAAAGTAAGGAAAATATTTGCCTATATGAAAGAATGAGGAGATACGTATTGTAGAAACCAATGTACTACTTAGATAAGTTACATGATTTAATGTAAGTAATTGGTTTTTCATAGAATCAATTTCAGAGTTCAGATTTTATTTTTGGGGACTACAATTTATTGTAGTTGTTACTGTTCTTGCTTCAAAATTATTTAACCAAACATTATCAGGCTTATATGCCATGTTTAACTCATTCTTTCTCCTAAACTTATTTTGCTCTGAAAATGACAGCACCAATATGGTTTGGGCAGAGTTGTAGGACAGGAAATGTGCAGTTCAGCATGAAGGGATTCCAGCAGTACTAAGCATGGGTCAACAATCCTGCCATTCCAACTGCCACTTACATAACATGAAGTATAGAGTTATATAATCCATTGTGGTCAAATCTGACCAGTGACCTGCTGATATCCAGCTCCAGTACACATGGAAGAAAGGCTGCTTTTAGTACGCATGCCACAGATCAACCAGTGTATCAATGTCTGTAAAAATACAAACTATAATCCCAACATTTGGGGATTATTTTTATCTGTAAGCCTAGAGATCTAGAAAGTAAGCAGCAGTGCACTTTAGTACTACAGTATGCCAGTTTCACAGTCATAAACCCCAAACTGACTCTCATCTACTCACAACCATTTTTTCACTGTGCTCAAGGCAATCTATATAGGCATGCTTCCTAACTTTATGCCTACAAAACCAACCAAGTGTAGTAGGATTAATTTGAGCGCATGTCTGGCCTAAAGTTTATTCACAAACTAGATGTTATCAGTCCAGATTCAGTAATATTAACTGTTGTAGTACAGCTTTGTTTGGTAAGTGGGTTGACACCAGCTTTCTCCAAACCAAAACATTCTAAGACATTTTGTGGACATCTAGCCGGAGAAAAGTTGATCAAGCCCAATTTTTTCACATTTGCTTTAGTGGATTTTCACCGAATTGATACATTGATTTTCAACCTCTCACTTTGATTTCAGGACTGTGAAATTTAGGACCCTGAACGAAGTTACTGTTTCCCTTCCCCAACAAGGTTAGTAACTTTCTGCAGCACTTACAAAAGAGAACTAGCAACATTTCCACTGTAAACAAGCTGACCTTAGAAGAACCCTTCGAATTAAAAAAAAACCTGCAGATTCTGTCACACAATTTTCTCCACCAAAGAAATTAGAAACCGTTCCACAATCCCCACCCCACCCACAAATTACTGAGGCTTTGGAGTCAGTCAGGATAGTCTTATTACAAAAAGGCATACTGTCTTGATGTATGAGCAAGCCGAATCTCTCACTCAAATCACACAATGGCATTTTGTAACAATAAATTGTACGGAATTCGGGAATGTCTGTGTATAGTGGAGGTAAATAAAAAAAAAAGGCGCTAAAAAGGAAGCTCTCTCAATCTAATGCGTCTCTGGGCCGTGAATAATGGACGCCGTAGTCCGTCCCGGCAGAAGGGCGCCAGGTTGAAGAAGGCTGCGGCTGGCGGTGGAGGAAAACCCCGACAGGCCTCTCCGCTTAGGCCTCAAAATAACTCGGGCCGAAAGATGGCAGACGGCGGAAGAAAATGCGCGGACCGACCCAAAGGGGAGGGCGTTAAGCGTGCGGGAGGAGAACCCAGTCCCTTTCTCCTCAGTTTCTACCGCGCGCTGACGAGAGTCGCCGCCTCCGCCGCCATTTTCTTTACTCGGCTCCTGGCAGGATGGCGGGGGAGGAAAACAGCGACGCAGCTTCGCCCGGCCACCCTGAGGAGGCGGAGGCCTCACTTCGGATCGTTTGGAGCGCCTTCGGCTCCCCGCTTCAGCTGTCCCCGGCGCACCCGGCCCAGCCGGCCTCATCCCTCCTCAGCACTTACGCGAAAAAAGCCTGCGTCCATCTTGACTCCTCCAGCCTGGCCTTAGAGAGCGCGGCTCCGTATCCCGGCGTGCACCGCGGCAAGGGCAGGCGCGCGCAGGCGCCTAAACGGCAGACACTCCGGCTTTTCTCCCTCCTCTCGGCTTTTAAGGGGCCGCCCTCTTCCTTCCGCGCGGGAAGCGCGGGGGGGGGGAAAGCTTACGTGACGCTCAACAATAATTGGGGCGGGGCCCGAAGAGAAAGCGAAAGAGGCGAGAGGGAAAACAAGAGGAGGAAAATCCAGCCAACGGTGGCTCGCGGGCTTTGTTTCCCGACCAATCCTGCGAAGGGGGGAGGATGGAGTCGAGTGGCTCAGCCAATCCAGAGTCAGTAGGGGAGGGGTAGCCCGAAGAGCGTTCGCGCGAGCGTGCGTCACAGCCCGCAGTTGCTGTGAGAAGCCGGGCAGAAGGTGACTTGTTGCTATGACTACCTGTAAGGCTGGGGCGCTATGGAACAAGGAGACTCGTGTCGGTGCGGAATGGGCTGCAGAGGAGTCCTCGACTTACAACAGTTTAGCGACCGTTCAAAGTTACAACGGCGCTGAAAAACGTGACATGTCCGTTTTGCGCAGTTCGGACCTTTGCAGCTTCCCCATGGTCACGTGATCAAAATTCAGATGCTTGGCAACTGACAAGTATTTATGACCGTTTGCAGTGTCCTGTGGTCATGTGATCACCTTTTACCACCTTCTTACAAGCAAAGTCAATGGGGGAAGTGTTTCACTTAACTGTGGCAAGAAAGATTGCAAAATGGAGCAGAACTCAACATATCTCTCACTTAACAACAGAAATTTTGGACTCAATTGTGGGTTGCATGTCGAGGACTACCTGTACTTATCATCCTGGAGAGATGCAACTGAACTTCCAGAGGGAAACAGGCAAACCTATGAATTGTGATTAGTAACCCTGGATTGTGAATTTCTCAAACTTGGCAACTTCAAGACTGAAATTCCCAGAATTCCCCAGCCAGCATCGGGTGGTCCTGATGACCAAAAATAACCTGAGCTTTGCATTGGCATCATTGGGGGAGCTTCACACTGGATTAATTAAAACATAGTCCCACTTCTCCATCTGCTCCCTCCTTTGCCCACTTTTGTTAATTATTTCGTGTGCTGTGATACTATTCAACATGTACATTAAACTAGTTATGAAAATGCACATTTGGAGGAATTTACCATTGGGGTTAAAAGCAGTGGTAGGAATATCAACAGCCTGCGATATGCAGATGCTATAACATTCCTCGCGGAAAGCAAGGAGGATCTGGAAGGAGAGTCAAAGATGAAAGTGAAGAAGTTGGACTGCACCTTAACATCAAGAAAGCAAAAATAACGACAACCGCAGAGAACACCATAGGTTGGAGGGCATATTGGCAATGAGACTATCAAAATGATAAAGGAGTTCACCTTCCTGGGCTCTAAAATTAACCAAAGTAGTGACTGCAGTCCTAAGATCAGAAGGCGTATATCCCTTGGAAGAACTGCAATGTCTGGCATGAATAACATCTGGAAGAGTAAAGACATCAGCCTCACAACCAAATGCATGTTAGTTAACGCAATAATTCTTCCAATTGTTACTTATGGCTGTGAAAATTGGACTCTGAAAAAAGCAGATAGAAGAAAGGTGGACGCCTTTGAATTGAGGTGCTGGAGGTGACTATTAAGCATCCGTGGACTGCAAAAGTAACAAAGAAGTTGTAGACCGAACCTCACAAAATCACCAAACAGAGGCTGTCATACTTTGGTCATGTCATGAGAGCTGACTCAGTTGAAAAATCAGTCATGCTGGGCTTGATGAGCAGAAAAAGGAGAAAGGGCCACCCTAGTACCGGCTGGCTGGACACTATAAATGATGACACTGAGATGATTGTGGCAGATCTGAAGGAGATGGTGCAAGACATATGTATGAAGAGTGCTGATCCGTAGTAGCCGAGGGTCAGAATGACTGAATGGCTGACTACGATGATGATTTTGATGGTTTTATGTTGTAAGCCGTCCAGAGTCATTGGACAAGAGATGGGCGCAAATACATTTCATGATAAATAAATAATAAAATGTACTAACCTACAAGATAATCAAACATCCATGTCCTTTTCTTGAGTGTTTAATACAGGTAGTCCTCCGTATTTAGTGACGGTTCAAAGTTACAATGGCACTGAAAAATATGACATGACTGTTTTTCACAGTTATGACTGTTGCAGCATCCCCATGGTCATGTGATCAAAATTCAGATGCTTGGCAGCGGGTTCATATTTGTGACAGTTGCTATGTGCCAAGGTCACGGTGATCACCTTTTGTGACCTCACAAGCAAAGACAATGGGACTCAACCGGGTTCCTAACTTACCAACTGCAGTGATTCACTTAACAACTGTGGCAGGAAAAGTCATAAAACGGGGCAAAACTCAAAAAATGTTTCCCTTAACAGAACGTTTGGGCTCAGCTGTGGTTGTAAGTTGAGGACCACCTGTATTTCACTTTTGCATCATTAGAGACCTTTCCAGTAAAATGAAGGGGGAGCTAATTGCTCAGATTAAAACAAAACAGCCAAATGTCTGGAATACTGCACAGTGAAAGTTCTTAATGGGTGAATGCAGTAGAACTAAAAAAAAGCCACATTCAAAAAAAGGAAGCATTTGGGGGGGGGGGGGAACCAAAAGGAAACAACCTTCCACAGTCCCAACCCTATTATTCTTTATATTCTGTGTTCTTTCTTTTTCCATGTATATGGCAGTGAGAGTACTCCGTGGCCCACACGGAGCAGTGCAGCCAAGGACATGGCAGCCAGGCAGCGTAGACAAGACTGCTCTTACACCCCATCATGCAGTTGATGCTGCAGGGCACGGGCAAAGGGTGTGACCGCCATGGCACTGCTGGGCTGCCTGGGCGATCTGTGACGGGCCCTGGAGGCGGTGAGTGGTCCTGTGAGCAGGCGGGGTGGTGGATGGGGGGCAGAGCGGGGGGCCGGGCAGGTGGGTGGAGCGGGGGCAGGGCCAGTTTTTGGGCACTCGGTCTCTAAAAAATTCACCATCACTGTCCTAGAAGTTTGATATTCCAGCATAAAAGGGGCAGATATTCATTCCCTCCAACAACCAATGCCAAAATGGCAACAGAAGAGTGGTACAGTTTACTATCCCTGACTTTGTCATCCTCGGGTCTTTCCCAAGAAACCCTCAATTATCTGAATAAGAACATTGGAGTTGAGAGAGAAGGAAGACAAATGGGGACAACTAAATGTAGCTCAAGGCTACCTCAGCAGTGAATAACAGAGTTGGAAGGGACCTTGGAGCAGCAGAACCTGTCCTATACCATTTCAGATAAATGGTCGTCCAATCTCTTAAAAACCTCCAGTGTTGGCGCAACCACAGCTTCTGGAGGCAAGTCATTCTAAACTGTTTTAATTGTTCTGTCAGGAAATTTCTCCTTAGTTCTAGTTTGCTTCTGTTTTGGATTGGTTTCCATCCATTGCTTCTTGTTCTGTTATTGAAGTTGAGATGGGGAAGCATCCTGAGGACACATCCATCAAAAGAAAGTTGATGAAGTGCCTCTGTGCAGTAGCCAGCAGGATGTGGGGATGAGCCTACAATAAAATAATAGCTGTGCAGAATTAAATTTGTAAATTAACAGTAGAGAGAGCAAAATAGGTGTCCGGCTGAAAAACCTGTGGTTAGTGCCTTGAATGCATATAACTACTGTATGTGTGCAGACACTCACACATACAAATCCAAATGGAGTTACAACAGTGGACTACATATGCAGCTCAGAGTTGAATTACAGAATTCTTGGTGTTCCCTGCAAACATTTCTTGTAAACAATTCATTCCCAAACTAGATAAAATCTCAGTAGTCGTACATGGATTGTTGGCTGGCTAGATTGGGATGGATGGGTGTGTGGGTGGATGAATGGAGTTTGTTCTACCAGCCTTGTGTAGGTTTGGACAGAATATTTGGATGGGGGGTACTGTCTGGAACTTATGGTGGTGATCAGTGGTGTTTTTGCTCATGTGGGGCCTTTGGTTGTTGCTTCTGCATACTTCATAAATAAATTTCTATATGTCCGCTGATGGTTAAATTTGGCCAAGTAACAAACTTCTAGAAATTCTCTTGCGTTCTTAGATTAAAATCTCTGGTGACTGAAATCAACGAAGACCTATGCAGAAGACAGAGTCTACCTTTTTTTCTTTTGGCTCACTGTGCTACACATAAAATCCTTGCTGTGCCCAAACACAAAAAAAGGCAAAACTGCAAAATGCTTTTTGCTAGTTTAATTCATTTTGGAAACCAAGATTCTCAAAAAAAAAAAAAAAAACAACCCTCAACAAGAGGATTAGGTTTGTTCGGCAGAATGATTTTTCAGATTTTATTATGGAAAACATAAAGCAAGAGAAAAACTGGAATAGTTCTCTGTTCCATTCTCTGTTTTGACAATGCAACTTTGCAGACATTTTTAACTTAGGAGAATAACCAGTTTCTTTGAGTTATTCTCCTGGCAGGAGAAGGAAATGAAACCAACCACATAATGTATTAAAGAAAGAACTGGGTCCAAAAAGATCTGAAGTCTTCCTATTTCCTCAGCATATCCCAGTGGAACGTCTCTAGGGAGTATCTATTCAACAAATAAATGGGAAACTTAAAAAAATAAAGAGGGGAGGGCAGGGAAGCTACCATTTGCATATTCCGTCTGCCTTACTGGTAAAAACCTTTGGGATCAAGAAGTCTCTGGGCATCTATGGCAGACATGTCAAACACAAGGCCAGATGCGGCCCGCGAAGTGGTTTCATGTGGCCCGCGAAGCCATCCTGGAAACAGTGAGAGAACGGCCCCCGCTGCCTTGGCCCTGGCCCAGGCCGGCCTGCCGGGAGCCAATGTACAATTTTGTGGTGGCCATCTATGCTGAAACGCATTCAGTCTTAGCTCCACAAGACCGTCTGGAAACAGCGAGGAACTAGCCCGTGTTGTGTCGCCCCCGCCCCCTGGGTGCATGCTGGGGAGGGTCACCCTTTGTGAGGAATGAAGAAATGCACCATGCCTTGGCACTTGCCCCGGTCCCCCTCCC